TTTCGGTAATTTTTCATGAACATAACGAGCCATTTTCCGTGCATCCCGACGCCTTCGATGTTTGCATTTTCAGCCCCATTGAGCGTGGCCGCGCGATGCGAATAAAATCCGGAATTAGGGTTGTATCCGCGCGAGAATTTGACGTTGATCGGTGGCCATGATTTTTCATTAAAATCCTCGCTGCAATGCGCTGCGACGCGTTCCAATGTGAAACGTCAACAGCAACCAGTACAATATTTATCCTCTTATAAACACACGAGCTGCGAGTGCATATTTATTTTTTTTTTTTTTTTTTTTTTTATCTTACACGTAACATGCACTCGCGATTGTACAAAACAAACGGATACTAATAATCGCGTGGCAAAGATTGAAACAATAGTCTCGTTTTGTTCGTTTGCTCGCTGAACGACCCTTGTAAAAAAGTAGGTCCTCGTGTCGAGCCGCATAGAATGAGAATGAAACAGGAATAGAAGAAAAGAAGAGTTTTCAATGCAAGATAAGATAAAAAGGTCTACTGGCAAGGGAATGTTCAATTTTCAATATCCCTTGAATAGCCGATCAGAAGCTCTCGCTATCCTTTCCGTTTCCGCGACGCCAAGTTAACATCCGTTTCATCCGTAAATAGGTCTGAAAACGGAGGCTCGGAAAAAAGGTTCACTCGCGTCGAGGAGGATGCAGAGGCAGCTTTGAAATCCGCGCAGCGGAAGAGCTGTCTGTTTGCACGGCAGCCTCCATTCACGCCCGTCGCCAACGAATCAATATTGATACGGACCTTTATACACGGAACGCACCGTGTTCCGATGGAATTCAATATTAATAGGACGTTCGAACAATATATTGCTAGCTAGGTGTCTGCACGCGTGTACATACACGTACGTGTTGGAAACAGCCCGTCATCGTCGCCTGCATAACTAGCTGGTACACAATTTCCACTAAACCGAATATACACCTAGGTAATAATGAGATCTTTTAAATAAATAAAGTGAACTAGAACGAGATTCGCTCTGGAGCCAATCCTTTTTGGGCGATTTTCGGTCAGATCGGAAAAACAATTTTTTTTTCGGCCATTTGTTGAGATTTTGACCCATTAAACACATTAAACTCTTACCGTTTGGCCTGTGCAAATGTGACAGAAAGTCGAAATGTTATAGCTACCTTATCAAGATTTTCAATCTTAGAAACGGGTTGGCTAAAAACTTGGAAAATCGGCATTTAAGAATCTAAGAAGCGACAGAGAGCTTTGCTCCGTTTAGTTTGCTAAGCGAAGAGAACAGTTTGTAGGGTGATAGACGTCTTGTTTGCTATCTGACGCAGTACATCGTGCCGTGTAACTGACTGAATCCCAATAGCTGGGCCAAGCAAGATTAATTGAATCGATAACCGGTCTGAATTATTAGCCAGTTCACTCCAGTTAGCTTATGGGCTTACGCGAGGGCTTCCGGTAAGAGAGGGCAGCACCCTTTGATTTGCGAGTTGTGCGTTGATTTTGAAAAATTCATCGGTAAAATGCAACACGTATGAATTCCGAGCGAGAAATCGAAATACTAAAAGAACGCAGCTGACCAGATGGAATGCAGAAATGCATGCAGCTGACACACTTTGAAACGCCTATCTAACCATCTCTGTCCAATATTTCACGCGTAGGAAACCAGAATCAGGATCTCTGTCTGGTGAAACAAAGAAACAACTGGGAAAAGCTGTTGCGATGTGGAGCGAAGTGATAACTGGCACAGGTGAGACAAAGGGAAGGAGAACAGGAGGCAAATGAAGAGAAACAACCGTGATCGAGAGCCAATTCCTTTCGAAGGATCGTTAAGTTGATACGAACGAGTAGCGGGTGAGGGATGCCGGTAAATTAGAAATTCTAAGGAAGATTAAGAAGACGGCTACTTGGCCTAGATCTAGGCAAATGGTACGTTAAAACGTAAGATATGTGCGCGTGAAAGGAAAGGCATGCTCGTCCTACGAAATATTTCTCCGAAGATTGCATCAACTTTCCGAGAAACGGAACCCTTCTTCGTATTTTCGAAAGATTATATGAAAATCGAGGACACGACGCGTGTCAGAGGATGACACACCAGATGCTCGTCAATTTATCTATTCTACGATATTTACACCAAAAAACGTTCCGTCCACTTTGACTGGGCATCGATCATCGATACCCATCAATATTACCCGTTTTGCAACGAGCGAACGAAACGAAACGAAACAAAACTAAAAAAAAAAAAAAAGTCCCCGCAGGGATGAAAGCAACGACGAAAAGCATGCATCGACGCGTACGATCGCGTCACAGTATTTACCGATTCCCCGTTTAACTGGATGTTTTCGGGTTGGAAATAAAACGGAGGACCGGAAGGAGAGGGTGAAACGCGAGGGGTTGACTGGCAAAAACGTCGAAATATGGCGGGTCCGTGGAGTCGGCCGTATAATTTCCGACTCACCGCGGCTCGCCAAATTCTCGTCAACGTTTTATTCGCCACCCTTTCCCTCTCTCTCTCGAGCGCACACACAACCGAATAACACAATGTTCCCACCCCCTTTTTTGGCCGCAGTTTGTCTGCATTAACGCTCGCGTGTTCGACGCCTGGAAAAGAAGCGGAAAAGCAGAGGGAAATTCTAAGAGAAAAAACATGTAGCCGAGTGTATGATTTAACCCTCTCACTCGGTGCTAAATTGTTTAACGTAAACAAATTTTATGTTTACTAAATTTTTTATCTGCTCAGAAAATATAGGGGTTTCGCGCCATTTTTTCTGGTTTTTATGGGACACGAGGGGGAGGATTGCGAGTTTCTACTTCCTGTACAGTCGTATCGCACCGGAAGCCCGCGAGTGCTGTTAATTTTTTTACGAGGCCGTTACTCGTTAGTGCCCTTTGAAAAGGCTTTAAAGAGAACGATAGACGACGCGACGCGTGTAGGGCAAGGGCGCCCAACTCGCCACTCGCTTTTATCTACCTTCTTCTTCTTCTTTCTTAACGCCTTCAGCTTGGCCTCCAGCTTAAACTATTTCCGTGCCGCGACCGTGAACGCGGAATGTTGGCCTTTGTCACGCGACGAAAGGTCAACTCTCGGAGCACGTGAGCGATTTCCAGGAAACCACCCTTCAACCCCTTCTCTTCCTTCCTCGCATCGATCTATGCGAGAATGAACTAGATCTACCACGAAATTTGTAAACTATAACTAGAAAAAAGTTAAATAGCGGATTAAAGGGATGTAAAAAGAGAAAATAACGATGGACCGAAGGGAGATAAACCAGTAACAACGTGCACAGCTCATCATTCCAGATCAACTGGTTGAAGGAACAGAGAAAATTTGAGCGTAGCTTGACTACTAATGACCTCGTTAAAAGACTTAGAAAGCAGCTCTAATGATGAGAAAACTTGCAGTATCTGATTCTAAAAATATTCCGATTATTTTCTCTGGAATTTTAAAATCACTACCATTATTAAAAATTTACAAATTATTTTGTGCAGAGTTCACGGCTATAACGTCTACTCAGGTAAGCCGAGCGTTTATTACCGAGACCAGCAAACATAATCCATTTAACGTAATGAGAATAAAAAGTATCGTTCGTTTTTCTATTAAATCCTACGTACCCGAGTTCAGTGAAACTTTGTTACTAGAAAACCTAAGAATCGCGTAGAGAATACGTATGTATCCTGGAAGACGCAACTAGTTGTAAAGGATAATCTAATCACCATTCCTTCACATTCAGGACGCTATTATAACGAGGCAACGAAGGAAGAAGTTCGAACCGGGACCGAACGAATAAAGGTAATCCCAGCACGCTCCGAGTTTCCCATCGGGCGAGCTGTTATTACTAAAAATTACGCAGAAACTTGGTAATTACCGTGGCGAGTAACGTAGCTCGTACGCGTTCAGCAAACCCGAGGAAACCTTTGAAACGAAAGCAACAAACCGGAGCTGAAATCGTACGAACAGCTTGCCAATCTCAGCCGGTAGCTGTATACAAATCGAACAGGACAACGATCCCGGAACGAATTGAAAGTAAAAACTGCTTTCACGATAAGAAAAAAGCAGCCGTCTTTGTTACCGCCTCGTCGAAATCACATTTAAATCGGCAACAAAGAATATATTTTTATTCTACTTGAAATATATCATTGCCTCTCGAGTGTGGCCGAAGCAAAGGAAGCGTATGATTCATTAGAAAATAATGGAGCATTAGAAGAGAGAGTTTCGTCTGATTGAAAGAAAGACAGGAAGAAAACAAGGAGTTAAGCGGTGGCCGTGGAGTCTGCTCATCCGGATAAGTGATTCAATTCCGTTTAAGAGGCACGAGGGGTTCTGAAGAAGCAAGGAGACCATTCCAGAGCTCCTCCATAGCGACGGCTATGTGCCTTATCTAGGGTGGTCGCGTTAAATCGTAACGCGTGACCGTGCATACTAAAGACGTATGTACGTAAACCGGTATTTTCCCCATCCCTCGCACGATTCAACCCCGTCCACCCACCCAAATCCCCCAGCAATTCGTTTGACGTATGTCGAGTGTCGGATAAAACCCGACCGTCAACGATATAAATTCATTCCAGGATCGTAACGAGCACACTTTCCATCTCTAACTCCTCCTTTATCATTTTCCTCGATCGTAATCAATTTGAACGGGTCAAACGAGCTACTTGACCACTCCAAGTACGAATTTCAAATATCTTGTAACATAGCGCGAATTGAAAGATCGCGTGCAAGGATTGAACGGGAATGAGTGAGTTCGATTGTCAAACGCCAGGCACCGGTTAGAAGAAAATGGTTATCGAGAAGGGGTGGCTTATTGGTTTAGTCACGGATCGTTTGTCGCACGGGATCGGTCCCACTGGGCTTGCCGGAAAATATAGGGCGAGCGAAATCTCGTCAACATCTCGTAACAGCTTCTACAGCGGTAACGCGATCAACATTATCCGGTTGATTATAATTCGCAAAATTTCAACGACTCCAAGAAAGGAGCAGAGAAAAAAAAAGGAAGAAAATGAAAGCAAAGAGACTGACCTTCTCGCGAAGCATGTCTCGCACCCTGGTGGCCTGGCTTCTGCTTCTGTGCAGCTCGAGTTGCAGCTCGAGGCACCTCTCCTGCCAATTAAGCTCCTCCACGGCGCTCGAGTATCCATCGAAGCTCTTGGAGGAACCGTAAGCGGGTCTGCTCTCGAGCTTCTCCTTCTTCGGGTCCGAGGTAACCACAGCAGCCGCTGCCGCTGCCGCTGCCGCAACCGCCACGCTTCTCGATTCCACGTACAACCGATTTTCCGCGAACAATCTACCAGCTTGATCCGGTTGCCTTCCCGAGAACGAGTAGGCTCGATCGAAATGTCCCCGTGACGCTGGTCCGGGATCAAAATTCGACCTGGACCTAGCTACCGAGGCGAGATCCTTGCTGTCGTAGCAGCTTGCGCTCGCGTCCAAGTCGGTCTGCGCTGCGTACGTTCGTTTGTCCGTGTACTCGACGTGTCCGCTCGAGTCTGACGTAAAATCGTACGGGCTACACTTTGGCTTCGTGTCCCTGAGCTCGACGTATCCCGCGCTTCTCGCGGCCTCCGCGAATCCTTTGTCCTTTTGGAACAACAGGTTTGGAACGTTCACGTACGGCGAGTCCCTGTTGTGCACAGGCGCCTGAAGACTTGCCGAGGCCGAGGCCGAGGCGACGTTGTTGTTGTTGTTGTTATTGTTGTTGGCATTGTTGGCGTGTCTGGGTCGGGGCGGTGGTGCTGGAGCTTGACGAAACTGGCGCGGCCATAATCGAGGACTCTCGGCTCCGCCAGCCTTGCCACGACTCGATTCCGGCCCGGCTTGCTGCTGCTGTCTTCGACTGCTTTCGGCTCCGCCAGCTTGACCGATGCCCGCGGAACTCGGCTCGTGAGCACGCACACCGAGCCTCGGGCTACAAGGGGCCGAGTTTGAGCCGAAATCGGTGGCCAGCCTTTGGATCGGGTCGAGGAGCTGCGAGAGGCGACGCGCAGGTGAACCTCGTACATCCTCCATCGCTTCTTTCGGCTGGCTCTGCTTCTCTCTCTGATGCTCGCCGCCGTTCGGGAGCTCTCAATGCATCCCTCGGTCCCTCCCTCGTGTTGCCTGCTTGCCTCCAGGGATCACGTTGAAACGAGAGCAACCGACGTCGCGGCCATCTTCGGGCGATCACGATCTCACGCGTTCCTCTTCTTCGCATCCTCCATCACATCCTCCCGGCTACGCTGCGACCTGTAACAACAGCCACGCTCTTGACGCATTGCTACCGATCAACCCCTCGCACCTGTTTATTATACGTGACGCGTTTAAACGCGTCCCTCCGAGCGGTTTATCCTCCCAACGATATCGTCAATCTGCCGTTTAGTATGTTAGACGTAGCTAGTGCTACGGGCAAGATTCTTCGTCCAACTGTCTAGCAAGATATAATAGAGACTTCTGGTGCATTACGAGCGATTTGTTCAAAGAATGTTTAGAATAACTATGAATCTTTGGAAAGTAGAGGATTGCAACACCGTGATCACTAATTCGCGGCAGGTATTATCGAATGGTTGCTGCTTTTCAAACATCTTCGAGTTTTCCAATGAATACACCTAGTTATAGCGACGATCACGATTGAATCGTTTCTCCTGTGGGAGAGGTTCGTTGTCGTTGAACCAACAAGCTCGACAAAGTTGTCGACTTATCTCGAGCCGACGACGACAAGTTTGTCGGACTGGTTCGCGGGTCGCCGTTGACGAGGTTAAAAGAGGAAATGGAAGGCAGATATTAACTCGCGGCGAGTGTTTGCAGTACTAAATTGAAAGCTGTAACTCTTTGGGGTGTCTCTCGAAGCGAAGCTTTCCTCCACCTCCGCCCTCCTTTCATTTCCTTGCCGTCTCGTCTCTTCTTCGGCTGACTTGCCGTGACGAGAGCAAAAGGAAACGAAGAACGAAGAAGGAACGGAAGAGCGGGAGCGCGCGACGCAGGGCTACAAAGTTTATTTTAAGGTCGACACTAAAAGGGGCCAAATGAAAAACCGGATGGAGGGGTGGACCGTGTAACGTTCCGTTCTGCAATTACCGCGGGCGAAACGTCTACAACGATGCCCGTTCTTCGCAAAGAGGACGACTGGCTAACAGGAAGCACGCTGCCAGCTATCAGTTCAGAAATTGTTACAGCTCCGCGCATCCCTTTGACGTGCAATTTAGTTAAGTTACGATGAAAGCTACCTTTCTACGTATTCGAACGTCCAAAGATCTACGGGCCTACGAGGATTTTATAACGATTAACCCTTTAGCTACGGTACGGTATAAACCATGCAGACGGTTCTGGAAAGATAACATCAGCCACTCGCGGAGTCAAATAACGAATAACGAGAGAGGATTCTCTTGTTCGGGCATGCGTGAGAATTCCTAATCGGCATCTATTCTCTTAGATAGCCAGTCGATTCACGAACCCGATACGTCGTTGCCGCGTAACCAACATACGTAAGCGGGCTTCGTGCACGATTCCCGATACTCCGAATTAACCCTTTCGTTGTTCGCCTCTGATACTTGCAAATCGATCGGCAATATTTAACAATTCTCAAGAGTATCAGCTATGCTAACGTTTACATTCTACCCTATTTACTTTAAAAGATGCATCTTTACTCGTTCGATCGACCGAGCAATTATGATAATGGAACTAATGAGAAACATCGAAAAAAAGGAGAGGCAAAGACTCGAAATTATGGAACGCCACGATCCGTCCGAGTCAAAGGGACTTCTTACGAAAGGGAACAAGGGTGCAAAGTTTTTTCTGAACACAATGAGAACAGAGAGAAGCTGCTTTCAGAGAAAACAGTAATTATACAAATTGGTACCGCGGCCGGAAACTGAATCTTCGTCTAGAAATAACAACGGTAGCTCGTTTCGTTCAAGTCCCTAGCCCTTTATGCCCTCGCTCTCTCTCTTTTTTTTTCTTCGTCTCTGATTCATCCCGTGTTTCTTTTTTTCTGCTCGTGCTCGTTCATCTTATCGCAAGAGCGTGCCGCGACCTCTCGCCACGATGCCACTCGATGAGAGAAAAGCATCGAGCTACCTGTGGCGTTTGCTCGCAGCTGATAAATACCGGAAGCGAGAAAGTGCGAAGAACAACGGTTGTATGGGACACGATTTCGCGGATATTCGCTGATTGGCTCAAAATACACCGATGGAAATGTGTTGCGGTTCCAAGCGTTCAACACCAAACACCAATAAGGATGTTAGGTATCGAGAAGGCAATCTCGAGTTAGAGCACACCAGTTAACCGCATCCATTACACAAATTCTCTGCTATAAGGTAGATCGTCCCTTCGAAAGTAGATACGGAAGGGGTTACGATCCTCCACACTGAATTAACCCTTCCGCGTGAAAATCGATACAGCGTATCGATGCTCGCACCTACGTATATGGAAGAAAGTAACTGCTGAAAGCGATTAACCGAAGCTACAATTACCATTCGAACTTGCGTTTTGCCTCGCTGAGTCCGAGAGAAAATATCCTTTGAAATCTCGATGACGGAAAATTATGCAATACACTCGTAATCGCTCGCGTTACGTTACGCCGACGTAAGACATATTTTTATCCTCCACGACTGATCGGACCAACGGATTCAGCTAACTCGATCAATTGTAAGTCTTTGCAATTGACAGATTTTCTATTAATAACAGTGACCTTCCGCAAAGTATCGATTCTTGTCAGTTTTCCAGAAGCCAGGACGTTTTAATAGATCCTCGTAGAAAGCTCGTATTTCTTAGATTTTATTATTACTACGCTGTAAATCTATCGGCTGTTATATCGACATAGGTTGATTTTATGAGAACTCTCCTCTCGTTTGCTCTGGGAAAACGTATAAGCTTTCCTCTTCCATCGAAGGGCCAAGCAACTCTCTCTCCCTTTCTCTCCAATATTTCGCGCGTAATATCGTCGGTTTTACGAGCAAGCAGATATCTTTCTGCACGCGATACCGTGTACTTTTGGGATTGTCGTTTTCATGAAAGAAAACGCTCGTCGAACTGGCCCTCTGGATACACAGGAGATATACGGCCGCAATAACAGGGAGTTTCGCGTATAAATCTGAATACCTACTCGAAATACCTAAATCTCCCCGATAAAATCCAGGTCTCGGACCGTTTCCTTGTTTCGCGAACATTTACCCGGCCCACCGCGAACTTTTCGAATCTGAAACGGCGGGAAATGTTAACGTTTCCCCTTCTCCGTTTCCTCCCTAACGGCAAACGACCCTTCGATCCGCGCCTCCATAAATTCTCGATTTTTCCTTCGAAACACAGATTCTTTATGACGTAAGATTGAGAAAAGTTTGGAAAAAAAATGCCATGCAGGATGCGTTAACTGATGCTACAAGGGAGTTTCAAACGACTGCCTCGTTTGAAAGGAACCGCGATCGATCGACGAGACTTAATTCTTAATCGTAATAAAATTACGTATTCATGGAAGGTCGGTTTGTTCTTTTTTTTTTTTTTTTTAACTCAGTCTTCACCCTCGTTTCGACGCGAGTAGGCCTAACACAAGGAATACAGCACGTTCGGGCCACGAGTAGCTACATAATGTCCAGACGTATAATAGCGGAGGTGGCACCTAGTGGTCCCGCAGAGTCCATGAATAAATTTCGAATTAACTTTCGAACGGTTTTCGCGTTATACGAAGCGCGACGGAAGCCCTCTTCAATCTGCCCGGATCCTTACAGGCAGACGTTATAATGCCAACCATCTACCCCTGCACTCTTCCACATGCAAACTACCCTCACGTGCAGACACTCTCAAACTACAAGCTACTTGCTTCAAAAATGACCTTCTTCCTTTTTTTTTTTTTTTTTCAATTTCTTTTTAAGTACTTGTTCCACTGTGCACCGTTGTAATTTACATACATTGAAACAAGTACGCTAGACGTGCTAGAAAAAGATACGTATGAAGATGTTATCTTTGGTTAACGGAAAACATAGCAATTTCATCGGTTGCAACAAAATGCAATACCGTTCGCGAGGGTTCCACGCGCAATTACTGTTACGTGTATCGACGCCAAGGAGAGAGTTCTGCAAGAAAAAGGAGCCGGTAACAAGGGGGCCACACATCGGTTCAAGGGAAACCAAAGAAAGAAAGAAAGAAAGAAAGAAAGCGCGTTGTTCCTTGAAAAGATCGAAGCTAACCATACACGCTGTTTAATTGTTTCTGTAGAAAAATTAAATAACGAAAAATCAGCCTGTATACTGTCTCCTCTCGTTCATCTTGCTTCGTTTCTTCCAACGTTTTCCCACTTTCCCGCCAGCCCCATGCCTCGCTGTATGTATATTCCCGATGTATTATTTATGGCTGGATGGATCGGCGCGGAAACGAATCCGATTCTTTCTCGATGCGAACGGACAGCTTTCGATTCGGCGAGGTAATTTATTCGACACCCCGTGTACGCAAAGCTACGACCCGTTGGCTTCTTCAAATTCTACAGAAAAATACGGAAGAGATGCCTTTGTCTTTCAACATCGAAACTCTGGCCCCGTTCGTTCGATTACGTGACATCGAGGCTCTTTTCCAAATCTTTCTCCTAGATTCTATTCGTTGTTTCCTCTTGTTGCTCGCGATACGCGGTTAGAATTTCGATGATTTTGAAACAACTATAATTTGACCCACCCTTATTAATTACATAGAAGAGAAATCAGGCCTAGCGCATTCCTCGTTCGTTCGAGATGCGTCTATTTCTCATTCTATCCGTCCTTCGTGTTGCTTCCCGTGCAATTTCTCCGAGGTCTAACCCGTTCGTGTACGGTGTAGACGCAGGAAAATAAAGGATGTCTCGCGTGGAGTCGCGTGCGAAGAAACTATCCCGCGGATACGTGACGCGAATACACGGACCGATGCTAATTGCGGGTAGAAAGGGCATGCAGCAAGCCCCGCCTCGAAAATCTACACGGCAAATATCCTCTGGACGAAAACTAACGAGCGAAAAAACCACCTTCCATTTCTCCTTTCAACTTTCTCCCTCGATCAAAGTGTACGAGCGATAAGCGATGAGTAATATTTTGAGAGATGAGTAATTAAGGAAAACTTATCGTTCTATTGATCCATGACTAAACTGGCAACGATTACACGTTCCTACCAACTACTTGTCGATTCCGAAAAACAAATTTACCGGTCCAAAGGCGACGGAATATAAATTTTCAACGTATAGTTGAAATTCTCGTTCGCAGGAGGAAAGTTTGTCCATTCGCCGTTTGCGTTCCGCAAACGCGGAGACTTTGTGAAACTTTCGCGACCCCCTTTCTCCACGGAAAGAGGGTGGCCGGGTATCGAGAAACACGCGGGGAACAAACAGCAACTTTTCGACACACACGGAACCCGTTTCAAATACCATACGAATGTTTGCCAGATTGCCACCGCGTCAACCCAGCAGGATTTTATGGTCTCGGGTCGCCCGACCATTTCACGGCTTCTTATGCGAACCCAAATCTTCTAATAATCGAAACCGATATTACCAGGGATATCGGTCTGACAAAAATTGTTCCGGTTGCCGCTATACCAACTGCTACGATATTCCTCCGGTTCACACTTCGCAAAAAAGTCTCCTCCTTAGGGCTGATTTTACGAGCCTCCGTGAAACTCTTTTATGCGAAACGCGTGTGTGGGAGACGATAAAAAGGAAATGATACGGGAAACTCTGAAGGAGATGGGGAAAGAATGATCGGACTAAAGATATTTTTAAATAAATACTATCTACCGTCTTACGGTTACGATGCGGCGAATGGGTTAAAAGGAGGAAATTACAGTTAATTAACCGGAGCACGGTATGAATTAACACGAAAGCCCGAGAGAAAAATGAAGGTTTAAACGGTATCAGTTTTCGTGTTACGAGGTTAAATCTGTTGGAAAGAGAGGAGAACCTTGACTGGTCGAGCGATTCGTGCCATTTCCTAAATGGACAAGGGCCAGGTCAGTCAATGAGAAGACAGAAACTGTAAACTAGATACCGAACCGTAAAGTGTGTAGCTCGTTAAAATGATTTGTCATCGAAGACGGCACTCGGTTGGCTTATCGGGATTCGAAAATTGGCAAGGACGTGCCGTAAATGAACGCTGTCCTTGGCACGCGCGAAAGTCGAACGAGAACATGAGTCATAAGGATACGATACGATACGATGTTTACTTCCGAACTGTATTACTGGGACAGGGTGGCCGACAACCGGTGATAAATCCTTTCGCCTACTTACGTTACTCGATAATCGGTCAATCACAACCCCTTGCGTCGTTAATTACGAGGTAATAACAATCCTCCTCCCTCGGGGATGAAAGGAAGTACATCTTAACAATTTCAAAAGTTTCCTACTTCTGTATAATTCGAATTACGTGAAAACAGGCGAAAGTCGAACAATCTCGAAATCCAACGAAAGCAACTTAAACGGCAAGAACAATTACCAGAGTTAATCGGCGTAATCTCGCTACCGAACCGAGTGAACGCCATTAAGGGACATTAATAATCGTTAAGAAAGCGCTCGAGCGTTTCCGGCGCAGGTAAAGAAGGCCGGTAATCGCTCGAAACCATTAGACTACCTACGTAAGTCGATTAGACGATGACGCGAACAATATGCGCGGCATTTCTGTTCAAAGGGTACAGAGAGAAACAAGAGCCACGGATATCGTGTTTCAGACGCGGTTCAACGAGACGCGACGAGACGAGTCGCGGGGCTCGGATTTTCAGGGAAAATTAATTTCACCCCCGGGACAAACGGTTCCTAATGTAATTACTAGACTACAGGGATTTCGATCAACGATACACGGAGGTTTCACCGGCCGAAAATTTCTCCTCTCGCTCGCTAACAGATTGAATTTCAACGGTACCGAAACACAAAAATCCTAGCTACGTTTTCTTCTATTCGCCTCGTGAATCATCCGCTGAAATTTGAACGCGTCCCCTGGCGTATCTGTCACGTATATGTATGGCTAGCCGTGTAACAAGTCGCGATTCGATTCCACTATTTGTCTATGCACGTTCGGCGTAACGAACATGGCCGCTTTTTCACGACTCGTGACAATGACTGAATTTATATTCAGGGATTTTCTTCGCGAAGATAGCTTGTTTTCCGAAACACGCGTGATCAATCGTGTGCACTCTTCGAATTTCAAAACATGATCAATTTTATAATTTATAATTCGACGCCTGCGCATTGTACTTCTCGATCGATTGTTTCGTCTTTTGAATAAAAACAGCTGACGGAATCAAACGAATGTTAAATCGTATAAAAATGGATCGTGTATCATATTTCAACGGAAGCAGTAATAAACGCGATGTTAACAACGCCATCATTTTTTAATGGTTTTTTTAAAGGTTAGGTGTCCCTGGTTTTGAAAGATGGCTGATAACCTTAATCGTTCGAGAGCGAGTACTAGTTTAATGCGACAATTCTACGGTTAAGAATTAATAATTTATCTCGTACCTTACTGTATTTATTGAAACGTTTCAGTATCCAATGAAGTATGAAGACGTTCACCACCTTGCGTGGTTAAGTCGAAAACGCCGATCACGAAGAGCACGAACAGGTTCGGTGAACACACACATAACACAATGTTTCAAATCCGGTCAATCGTCATGCACTACCGTGTAAAAACCGAAAGAAAAACGAAGGAAAAACAACTCGGAACATAGACTCGCTGTGTTCTCCGAAGTAGAGGTTCAATGACCAGAGATAAAACGAGCGGCAGCGTCCCATCGTAAAATCGGAAACCATGCTTCGGCTAGCATTGAAAGGCAACCGGAAGACGGAAAGCGAACGCGAAGCTTCGGGGCTTGTTTTGAAAGGCAGATTATAAATACCGTTCGAGCGTGGAAAATGAACGTGGTTTGATTAACCGCCGAATAGAAACTGACAGCAAAACCGTTCCGTAACGGTGTTGGCGCTATGCGCAACTGCGCTGCGCATACGAAAACTGAATATCTCGATCGAGCGGGTCACGTGACTTGGAAAAAACGCGGGAAACATTATCGACTGGACGTACATCGATTTATATCGATCGTTCGATAAAACGCTCGACGAACGATTCTACAATTTTTGAAACTCCGTAATAATCGTAAAAGGGATTTAACTGATATTTTTCCCATGAAATTCCGAACAACGATAATTACTTAACGAATCCATTTAACCGTGACGCAACGATCGAAGGGGAATGTGCGAGGCGCGATATATGCAAATCGACGCGTCACGCGTAATTCGATTTTTCTTCGTTTTATATCAGATTCAACTCGTAGTTACGGTCAATTACAATCGTTAAATATTATTTTGTTATAATGTAATGAGCACCGCTCACGTTACATGGCCGTGGGCGAGCATACGAAAGGTTGCATTTTGCATAAATTAGCTATATAGTTGTGTCTGCTTCGCGTGGTTGCACGGCGTTATTGTCAAAATAATGCGGGAGCAGGTTGCCGCTACAGGCTAGATAAAACAAATAGACCTCCGACACGGAGTTGTATATTCGACCTTTGCCGAGCCGCTGAACGCGCAATTGTTTCAAGTAAATCGTGAAATTAAACACTGAAAAGAAGAAAGCTCGGCTACCACTTCCGAAGCGAAGCGAGATTATATCGTGTAATGCTAATGCGTGTTGTGATAACGGAAATAAACCGGGTAAAAATGCAAGTTGAAAATTAAAGAATGTTTCGTCTATCAGATTTTCCCTCGACGTTTTAATTTTCGCATACAAATTTCATATTCAATACGGAAAGACGCATTGTTCTTTTTCATTTTCGTCGTTCTTGGATGGTCGTGATTACCGGTTACCATGATATTTTCAAAAGAACGGATCTCGTAATTGAAACGTGCTCGTTGACGGGGCTGGTTTCCATTGAAACGTTTTGAGTGCGTTCCACAGAAAGAGTTAATACGCGTAATAGTACTGTTGGATGCGAGAACGGCCTCAGGACACCGAGGGCCCATTTTGCATAAAACGCACAATTAGATTCGCTGTTCTTTTCTACCTATGCCCTCAATCTTCCAATTTTTACTGCATACGAAAGAAACTAAATTAACCTGCAACGTTAATCGTAAGACCCTTTTTGCATACAACGGTACAATTTTGTAGGAAGGAAATGAGGGTACCTTCTCTAGTGGGACAGTCGGTAAAAAAAAAAAAGAATGAAAGAAAGGGGGAATACGTAAAAAGAATGTAAATGGTGGGCTGTATTAAACGCGGGTACCGTTTTCTTATCATCATTTATTAAAAATGCCAGGTAAGCGGAACAATGCAAATGGTCTCGTTATGAAATACTCCTCCTACGTAATTCTCCTGGCCTGACGTTTGAAAAAAACGAACACGGTGAAGTGAGGTAGAGATCGCGTAAACTTCGAATGAAACAGAGTATAACACGGCCGTTAGGTGTCTAAGAAACACCGCGTTATACGAAGCAAAGGATGCCAATCAGTCGTTAATTAAAATATCTAAACGTGTAACGTTCCACGTATGTAACAAACATAGCAACTAGCGAACTGTCAAGACGATTATTAAAAAAAAAAAAAAAAAAAAAAAAAAAAAAAAAAAAAACAGAAACGGATTGGCATAACACACGGACCGAGGGGACGCGGACCGTCGGAATCGGACACGACAGGATGTAACGGGTAGTGAAACTTGACATTGAGAAATTTCGAAGGATCATGAGAAGGGAAAGAAAAAAGAGAATCGAGGGTTCGAAAAAGGTATCGAACTGCTTCTATAGAGTAATTTAAAACGAGTCGGAGGCAACCGAACTAAAATATGTCGTAGCGTGTTACTACTGGTGTGCCTAAAGGCGTGGACAAAAGATGAATTTGAGACCGATGACCTTTCTCCTCGAGGAGAGAAACAGAGAGAAAGAGATGGTACGGGGGAAAAAGAGTGAAATAGTGAGAGCAGAAGGGAAGAGGAAGAAAGAAAGAAAGAAAGAAAGAAGGAAAGAAAGAAAGAGACAGGTCAAGAGAGATCATTCGAGAAGGCTCCGTTAGTTGATCAAGCGCGAAGGCTATTTAACATTCCCGTGTTTGGAAGGACGCACTTTAGGAATCGCAGATGTTCAACCGACTGGCAGTGCTAGTTTTCAAACTTGTTCTCGTTGCTCTCGCTTGATCTTTCCGTTTCACGCTCCTTCTCCGTTCTCTCTGCCTCTCCTTTCTTCTCCCCTCCTCCTCGCGGCTGTGTTTTTTGCGTGACAAACCTACCCGTGAAAGACTGGCCGAAGTAGGTACTTGGCGGCAGCGACCAGAAGGGTTTGTCCGTAATATTCACTAATCGAGGGATGACAGCTTTGCACAACAAGTAGGTCATACGCGATAATTAACGCGAAGGAACGACAGGTTGACACGGAAACGATTTAACAGTTTCATTCGAAAGTGAAACGACGTGTGTGGAACACGTAGGCGCGTGTTTACGTCGGTGGAACTCACCTCGGCTCGACGGAGACTGCGGTAACGGCTCGTAACGATTTGAAACGAGCGCACTGAGTCCACTCCATGCCTGGTACACGCACGGCCACTGTCTTCTCAGCCGTTATTTCCTTGATTTTTAATCTGTACGAACACTCGTGGACATGCCGTCCCTTGTTCAACGCGGATAAAGATCGTCGGCGCACACTAATACCAGACGGTCACGACGCAGAGGCGCGAAAAACGCGAAAATCCCGACGGATCCGCGGTATATTGTCATGAAATACGTACAGAGTCGGCAAACGTCGAGCTGCAACAGTGGCGACCATCTGCGCCAAGCGGTCCAACTAAATTCTCTAGTCGCTGAACGCGTCTGGGGATATCCCCACTCCGACGCTTCCTCCCCACTCTTCGCGTAGCACTTTCAAATTTGGATCAGCTTGGGCGGTATCGAATCTATTATTTAATTATAAAAATAGTTATCTTATTATAATTGTAATAAATATTATATTCCGTGTATAAAATGTTTATAATATATTCTACATAAATATTGTAAAAATATTTTTACAATATTTCTTTATACTGTCTATACGCTAAAACTTGTAACAATTTATTTTTGTATGTTGGATCTAAAATATCATGTAACTTGTTTTCGAATGTAGGTATGTAACTTTCATAATTTGTTACGAGCATCCTAAAGGTAATTGATTTTTGAAATATGATATCTAGCCGTGAGTTTACCCAGTCTATAACATCATCAGGCAACACGTTGTCCAAATAGCTTTTCATGTTTCTTATTAAGAACTCGACACAAATTTTTGATATTTCCAAAGGTTCGAAGAAATCGTAGTTTGTGCATTTATTGAAAACCTAAGTAAATATCATGGTATTAATGGCAGGCACTTTATATGATTTCGGTTTTTTAATGCTACTTACGTCTGTCTCGTCCATTTCATAGTCTGAATCATCTATTAGTGCAATACTCCAATAAAATAACACGGGACAAATTAATTCAGGATTGTTATTATGCATAGTTTTATAGAATTTAGAAAGAAGTAGATCCGTGCATGTCATATTAGTATGTTTTGTACAATCTATTGGAATGGTATCGATTAACATAGACGCTTCGTGTCGTACTTCTGAATTGTTGTCCAGCAACAATTGGAACACTGTTGTCCACCACTGAACCTGTACATCTGTAAAATTATATTTAACAAATGTATTATACATGTACCGAAATAGTACAAACTATAATAACTTACATCGATACTCGTCGAATCCTGTACATATTAAGAAAAGATCATGCATTATATTGAAAACAGATCTTCTGAAATCAGTGTTTAAGGATGTGATCCACAAATGATCACAAAAATTATTATATACATCATTGGTGCATTCCAAGTCAAATACTACTTTGTTTCCATTTGCAATGACCAAAATTACGTATGATTTTCCAAGTAATCTTAAATAACAATCTCTTTCGCAATACGTATTCTTCTTTTTATTTACTCGTACTTCGTTCAAAACAAATTTACAAATATCCATTTTTTGAATAGACGATAATTCAAATTTATTCAGGTACGTTAAGCTACTATACATGAAATCGAACAGTGCATCTTGTAATTCTGGACTGTATCTATGGAGATTTTGTACGGAATTACGGATTTCATCAATACCATAATATAATAATTCCATCGACATGGTATCCTGTTGCATCTCACTAATAATTTTTGTAACAGTAGACCATGCAACAATTTGTGTTTCTGGCATTTTCAAACTATTAATGTATATCGCAGTTAATAGGTTCTGCGGAATTAATCGATTTCTTTCCGCTACACCTCGAATTAACTTAATTATGGATATCTGATAAAGTTCTCGTGCTGGTCCTTGTTTCAATGTTGGTTGTAACAGGTGCAAAACAAGCGTACGTAACATTGGAATATTTTCTACAAAATACGTTTCATCCGCTTTGTACATCTCACTACATATATTCACGTAAACCGTGGCCAGCAAAAAACACGGAGGATTTAAGTTTTGGCGTTCCAAGTTTTCTAAGATCCAACCTGTTTTTTCCAGAAACCTATTCCAGTGTTTATCAAACGATTGAAATTGTTTAAAACCAAAATGTTTTAGTATCTCAAATATCTGAAAAATAACAAAACCGATCATTATATTTGCGTTTCATGTTTACACGACTGTACATACCTGTAACGTGTAACCGTGTATTAAATTTAAAGATAAATTATCGTTTCCAATGTATATTACACTTTCAATTATTCTCATTAAAACATCTCCTACAGACCGTTCTGTCAATACAGATACTAGTGCTCTAGCCGCTAATTTACGCGTTTCAAATATTGTACTCTTTGCACATTGTACAACTAAAGTAACAAGATCATCGATCTGAAATATAAGTCCCCTTTATTGCTAAAGTGAAACATTATTACAAGGTTTAAAGTTACCTTATTTTGAATGGTAGCATGTTCAGAATTGTGTCTATGATACAATCGTGACAACAGCAATAAAATCGATTGGACGTTCGATTTTATAAGATTATCATTCATCGCCACGAAAGTTTGTAATTCGTCTAAAATAAAAGGCAATAGATTGGGGTATTTTTCGAAAAATAAAATAAAATTCATTTTATTATCTGTAGTAAGATTAATATGATCTTTCGTTCTCTGAACACCGAAAATTCGAATGATAAGCGCACTGAAGAGTAAAGTCGCTGCGTTTCTTTCCTGTAACGATATAAAATGTTTCCTTACGTGTAACTTCACACGCTCTATAATAATCTACTTGATACTCTGAAATTATCTTACCGCCCACGTTAAGGCATCATAGCTCTTAATTGCTGCTATTAAACCATCCTCTACATAGTCGTTCACTACTTCCCCAAGACGGGAATTTCTGAAAACTGCTCTTAAAATGTTCAGAGCATGAGTTCTGATTTCTGTTACTTGAGTTTTATTCTCGTTTATACAACATCCATCGACGGATTCAAGAGAGTTTTCATATTCTGAAAACACGGAGTTTCTGTATATCAAACGTTTTACTTTGTCCCATAGGTTCACATTTTCCAATTGTGTAAATTCTAACAAAATTGTCATCACAGAATGGAAGATTGTAGTTTTCGTATCCTTGTATTGACGAGGCTCCGTGGATAATAAAGCCTGTGAAGTAAAATTTTCATGATTCTCTTTAAGTCAGAATCTACGAAAGTAAATTTGGTACCTGTATCATGAAAGGTACACCGGCACTTCTTCTAGTTGCGCATAATTTAGAATTCTCTTCCTTAATTCCTGTGATAGCAATCAAAATTTGATGTAACCATATTTTAGGTAATTGATTAAAATGTGCTATATTCGAACGCCAAAGACGAGTACATAACTGATTGAAACCTACATGTGCTTGTTCAAATGCCCCTCTATGCTTTGTTTCAGTAAGTAATGTAACCAAATGTTCTCCTATTTCAATGATCTGTTAAAAAAAATCAGTTTTATTTATTTCCGGAAATAAATTTTGTTGCTTTGACATTTTGGGTCTAAGTGAAAGGATTTTACTTGTTCTTTGTTTAAAAGTCCTATGGGAGAATTTTTTTCGCATATCGGTGCTTTAATAGCAAGCAAGCCGAACATTAAACTAACTTCCTTCACAGTACGCCAAGAACAAAGCAATACCATCTGTGGAGTTACCATCTGTTTCTCAAATGATGAATTATGTATATTATTGATAGTTTGCAAACTTAAATCCATTGGTAAGTGTCCTTCGGGTGAGGAATTATTTACTATTACGGAAACGGCGCAACTTAATTCCAAACATACAGACACAAGTTCCGCTGTAGCGTCTTGCCATAACTGTGTTTTCGCGATTTGTTCAAAATCACATTCTTCTAACAAGCTTCTGATACAGAAAAGATATCCATACAGAGAATGTCTCGTAACTGTCGTTACTATATTCTCTTTTGCAAGAATCAGTGATTGCTGCAAAGACAATAAATGTAATATTTTTGTATAATAGTTATAGATTATAAATAACATTAAGTACCTTTAGTTTTTTAAACAAAATTAATATTAGCTGCAATATTATGGTTTCTATTGTATTTTCATCTAATGATTTTGTTGAACTAAATCGCGTTTCAAGGACAGATTGTACAATTGGTGACAATGCACTGAGCTTTAACATATATGCAGCTGTAATACTGTCAATAGGTCTGATACTGTTACCTAAGTCAACAGCAACTGTAATAATATCATAAACAACTTGTTCATTATCTAATTGTAACAAACTTGGATTTACAGACTTTATCAATTTGAAAGCCATTTCTTTGTTGCTTTCATACGTATCCAGTAACATCAGCTGAAATAATGCTTCCATTTGTTCAACCTCCCAAGCAATATGTTTGAATTCATTATCTAAGAAATCTTTCATTAAAAGTAATATTTGTAAGCTAGATTTTCTTCTAGAGTATGTAGCATCAGGGCTACATATACACATGTTACGTAAAGACCTAAATGCATCACAGTATGTGTCTATATCTTTTTTGAGACCAAAAGATATTCTATATGATTTATCTAATACTTCTTGATTCATTTCTATTGAGCTGCAATTTTTTTGGTAATGATATCTCATCTTCTCTTCTTGAGCACATTGTCTTTGCATAACAGCAAAACTCTCCTTCATACGTTTTAGTGCCTATGGAAGACAGACAATAGTCTTACAAATAACAATATAATACTCATATCTTTGATGATCTTACCTTTTTAATTAAAGGGACAAATTCTAATTTCTCTTTGAAATTAATTCGTAAGAATAAAATAATTATGTCATGCTCTTTAGGAGTGAATTTCAGGGTACTCTTTTTTGATTCCACTATCAGAGCAAGAGTATTCAGTTTAATCTAAAAAAACATAGCTGGCATTATAAATACGAATACCCAGAATAGTCTAAGGAATTGGAAATATTTATACTTGTTCATCGTCATTGTGTAAATAGGATTCCAAATTATTGTAGGTAATAGAATTTCGCCAAAATTCATTATTTGATCTTGAAAGCTCCTCTTCGGTATCTAACTCCCCACAACGTTTTAGTTCTAGCAATTTATTTAAATCTCTCTTTATATCTTCCTGCGAATACATGTTACTTAACCTATTCAAATTTGACTACAATAAACCACGTGCATTTAGCAGTGCCTGCATATATATATATATATACCGCAGTTCACCAGAGTCCATAACTGCGAAAAGACCAGTTTTCGTTCTTCGCGCTTCTCCAGTGCGCATCTTCGCCCTGATTGGCGATACTCCTAAAGGAAGTGGAAAGCGATTAGCAGAGAGCTCGCTGCGTTCCCCCACCATCTTCCAACCTGCGCGTCGCAGTTATGGACTCTGGTGAACTGCGGTATATGTAAGTAGGTACATCTCGCGCTCACCAGAGAGCACAGCCGTTATGATAATCGTATGTTTTATCAATCCCTCTTTTATCACACCTCGCACTGACGACTGAAAAGACATAATTTTGATCCCCATTGATACAATTTTTTTTTGTTTTTTTTTTTTAAATCAGTCAAAAGCAGCACAAGACTGAATTATCGTCAACATGTGCTAGACTGTTGCAGTTGCAGTGCAAAGTGTTTCACATTCACTAGATGGCAATGGTAGTGCTGTTTCTAAAGCGCGCGTTGGTAGAACATTTAAAAAACTTTTACATTATTTTTAGTTTGTTAAACTAATTATTCTACAAAGAAATCACACAAATATCATACTATATGTGTGTCCAAAATCGTGACACAGAAAGGAGATAAATTCATTCCAATTATCATTATCACGTAACTTAATTAATTTCAATCACACGTGCATGCATTATAAACTTATCGTTTGCAATATGCAATATCATGATATGTATATTGACAAAACATTTAAATGACTGCGTTGCACAAAGACGTAAATCTGTAACGTTCCACGATGAAGAGCAATCGTATAGAATCGCGATTGGTGTTCGAGAGTAGATTCGCGAAATCAACGAGTTGCAGTGCACAGTGGGAAATATTGATTCGAAAAATAACTCTGGTCGCTAATTTAAATAATTGCATAGCGCGCTCGGCGACCGCGCGCGCGGTTTCGCTCTTTTCGCGGGCTACTCTAATAAATTGCATTTTAATTAAAATCGATTTTTCAGCGGCGCACGAGCGACCGGCGACGTATCAAACAAACTGGAAACAGGATCGTGATTAGGAATAAACAGTTTTTGTTGACAATTGGATAAAAAAGAATCGATCGACACGAGCGTCTACGAAGAATGACCTCTGACACGGGCGCTTTTCTTTTTCAAAGTAGATACTTTGCGACTAATTATAAATCACATCGTGTAACTAATCTATGTATACCGAGAAAATCCGTAAGGGGTTGCAGAAGGCACGTGGAGAAATATTTGATAAAAAGTCGAATGAGAAAGAAGGAGGAGGAGGAGGAGGAGGAACGAAGCACCAACTAGGGAGAAATAGTTGAGAATAGTTCATTTTTCGCGGCACGACCAGCGATAAGAGACATAACGCTCGGCAATGAGTACTATTCCCGTGTGTTTATCGTTCTACCTGTACGTAGAAACGTGACATTTAGCGGAGGGCGACAGAAACCTTCTGTCGTAACTGTAACGTTTATCGCGACCGCCTTATCTACATTTCCCCGAACCGAATGAATGTTTCTACGTCCCGCGAACTTATTTTAACGACCTCTTTCAAACACGAATACCATTATATTATCGCTACAGCTATTTAATTTCTTTTTATGGCAACATTCAGATCTAAGATAATATTGCCGAAAGTTGCGCAGGAATCGAAATGAAAAGGTTTGACGGGGAAACGCGTGGAATGAAATTGCGGGGAGCGGCCGATTATCCCGGGAAGCCCGGTAGCTGGCCGTTAATTGGATTTGACAGGGGACCAGTAAATTGAGTTAGCAGACGATTCTCGGTTATTTACCCGTGTGTCGGATAATTCACCGTCCGACACGTCAAAAGCTTTGCAGTCTCTCCTTCTCTGTGTACACACCGGAACAACCAAGATCCCACGTAACGCCAGATTGTGCTTTCGTTTAAAATTGAAAGTCAAAACGTTGATTGTTCACCTTGGCAGGCTTCCTGAAAGTAAAAGAAGAAAAAAAAAAAAAGAGGCAAAAAGGAAAAGTAAGAACAATTTCCGGAGTCGGCGTAATTAATGATAAAAATCTGGCAGTTTTTTGCCACACACGAGAGAAAGAATCGTTCTCAAGAATATCTCGGTTACAAAAGAGAAGACCTTCGGACACGTAGAATGGTCGGAAATGGTCTGGGATCCTTCCCAGGAAGATGTGTAATTAAAGGAGAGAAAGACAAGAAGCATTGCGCAACCCCGTAAGATCCATCTTTCCCCGGGACTGAAATTAATGATAGTACAGGTGGTCTTGTCGCGGTCACGAGAAACGTGCGTGCGTGTATTCGTGTTGCTTCTAACTTTCCCGATTAATTTGACCAACCAAATTTCTATGTAACAGCGATTCGAAATAATCGCTATTTGTCTTTTAAAGTGTAACAGAAAATTATGGAGCTCGCGTTGACGAATGCTCGCGATGGTGAGTGGCGTTTAAACCGGCATAGCAGCACGGCAGAGTACAAGAGGCGTTTTTCTGGTCCGAGGTCAATTTCCATGCTTTGAGGAAACGCTGCGAGTCAGCAGCGTCGAGCATACCGTTTCCGGGCCACTTGCTTCCCACTTACCTAGAAACAAGCAAAACAACGCAACAATTTATTCCCCCGACCGCGTGCAAAAAGACTAACGCTGTTGCGCCAGTTTCCGTAAAATAGCAACAGCAATGGCAAGAAGAGACACAAAACCGGGTTAATGCCTACGCCTTAGATTCAATGTTTCCATGTTGCTCACCACCGTTTAACGTTTTTCGCTAAACCATCGATTGCTGCTCCTTGGTCGATAATTGTCGATTTGCAAAAGAGTCGAATCGCAACGCGATTTTCTCCGGAAGCCTCTGTTAATTTTCTTTCCTGCAGCTCCTGTTCAGTAAACATTGGCGTCCGCTTGTTTGATCGAACAAATCGAGTCTTTTCAATCTCGCAGCGTTTGTAAACGAAATCCGTCTCGCGTTATAATTACGAGGCAAGAAGACTCCTTTCGAAGCTTCCGAGAAGCTATTGCGAGTGTTTCCGTTAGATAGACCAGCCGGAAGGAAGAAGATAGGAAAGGAAAGAAATAGAATTTAAGAGGAGAAAAGCAAGTGGTAGGGTAAGCCATAGCAGAGGCGTAATATGAGGTTAGCCGAGCGAGGGTGAAACTCGAGGAAATAAATTCGCGTCCCCGAAGACAGTTGCGCGAAAAGCACTGAAAGGGGTAGAAACAAATGGCTACGTGGCCTTTCTGCGGGCACAAGCTGAAGAAGGAAGAAGACACGTTAGGTCAACCGAATTTCCCACCTCTTCAACGGGTAAAATGAATTTTTCTGTGAACTAAACTCGCCAAGAACACGAAAGCTCTTTCTCGTAAGAAAACTTCCATCTATGGACAATTTCGTCTTCTTAAGTCGACAACGGTTATCTTCCTGTATTTTCTTCTATTTTTCGAAGAAGACGTTTTAACGCTACTTCGAGCTTGGACCGAAAAAATATGGTGCTTTTAAAGAGGCGAAATCGAATTGATAGGAATCATAATATTTTCAAGACGGAAGATTATAATATTTAATAAATGCGGTGCTTATACCGGTGACACCCCATGGCGTTCAACGTGTTAATAACCTGCTGTAACAGCGGAGGTGTTAACCGACCCTCTAAAGTGAAATTTGTGTATTACTATCGGGAGACTGTTTTTCGAAAATAGTTTTCAGTCAGCGGGCCGTGAAACGAGCTGCAGGAAATTTCGCTGGAAACCCGTTGTTGTCCCTGTATCGGAAGTTCTTGAACCGAATCGAAGTACCCTTTTTATCAATGTTCACCTCGTTACAAGCCGAACGAGTTCTACGTATTCCGGTGAACACAAGCTGTGCGACACAATCCTTCGTTAAGAGAATTCCACGGATCCAATACGCTTTGATTCGAATTCACCCTGGACCGATTGATTCCTTTGAGATTCACGTAATTCCTCTTCCGATGAAACGCAGCTGTTTTCGAGACTATAAGATTTCTATGATGGAAAAGTAATGGAAACACAATAGATAGGGGCAGTGTTTCGTTTAAAACGCGTAACTTTAGTAGAAAAGATTTAAAAATAATTCAGGTTCAGCGAGTCGACGCGTTGTAGAACAATGTTCGACATCGGAGTATCGACGGTGAATGACGTTGAAATTTTTCGGATTTTTAGCGGCATGACGGGGCGATAGAGCGGAATTGAAACGATATCGAGGACGGATCAAAAGATGGTCGGGCGTTGATCGATCGATCAGAAGCGTATATCTGCTGGTTGGTATGTAGTCGGTGCTCGTCGCTTGACCGTCGATCGAGTCGATCGACTCGAATGGTTTTTTCGTGGAAATTACGCGTGGAAATAAAGGTTCTTCGTAGAATGATATCGAACATCGAACACAGTGTCGATCTAACCACTGCTGATATCTATGTATGTAATTCCAATCGCGCACTCGCAGAATCGTCGTTTTCCTTCGATCCGCTTTCTACCATCGATGAAATGGAAATTTTTCGAATTGCCCTCTGGAAACCTTTGTCAGAGTCGAATTGGTTTCGAAAAAAAAAAAAAAAAAAAAAAAAAAAAGAAAGAAGAAAAAGAATGATTTAAATAAAAAATTATCATACGCGAAATTTTACGCAAACAATACGAGTATTAAACTGGTTCGGAATCGATTCACTGCCCTTATCGTTTTACACGCGAAAATTGATGTTCACGCACACCCTCGCTTTACTTTGCCCCTTTTATTTCCGCGTTAATGCTCCTCCATACGAGTCAACGATTCTACGGATGCGTTTCCAATCCGTGGATTGCATAAAACTCTGCAAAGGTTCACTGGACAGCGAATGAACAACAGTAGCCTGAGACTTGGTCCGCATAAAAACACGAAGGGGAAATAAAAGTACGTGTTACGTATACGATACAACCGATACAAGTGCAAGCCGACTGGAAAACTTGGAAAAACCTACACCGGATGGAATTAAACATACTTCAGCTTCCACCGAGAATGTTTGACTGAGGCTATGGTCAGCTGAAAGAGCTCCGACCAAAAGAGGGATAGAAAAGGTAATTTAGTACGATAAAATCTGACCGAGGACGATCCTCTTGGTAAAACGGCCTCGATAAAACAATACTCGAATGCTTAGCCTGTGACGGGAAAAGTCTCTTGATCTCTGCTAAACTCATTCCTTCTCCGAGAAGGTGGATCTCTATTTGTCATTGTCGCAACCTGAGTGAGATTAACGATCGTCAGAAAACTGCTAAGCGTCCGCTGCAAACGACGTCATCGCGAAACGTTCCGTATCGTTGCTCTCGCTGTTTCTTTCCCATTTCCCTTAATTTTTTTCCTTTTTATCTTTATCGAGACATTCGATTAATCGTGATAAATTAATAACTCCACGCTCGATTCGATACCCTTTTTTTCAATTTCTTTTGCGATACAAAGGAAGAGGGTTCGATCTTCACCGGAGGGAAGACGGTGGACGAGATTTATGAGATTGATATCGCACGATAATCGAGTCTAAGGGAAACTCGGGGCTGGAAAAGTAATGGGCAAAGTTTTCACGACGATCGGTGTTCGCGGTTCTGCCTGTTTACACGCTTTACGAACCTATGCTAGGTATAGAATAATACTTTATAATATGACGCTTTATTAACCTTTCGGATAGATTTTCACCTGACTAAAGGAAACGGTATATCTTTCAGTTCTCTTCGTTTTTAGGACAGAAAACCTATTCTTCCTTCAGATGGTATCCACCATTAAATACCACGGATATAAATACAAAAGTTGCAGAAAAATAAAGAAACATGCGAGAGACACAAATTGCCGGAAAAAGTCTCTTTTTATAACGCTAACTTTTCACTTCGTTGTACGTACGAACCGTAGAAGGGGTATCCCGTTAAAACAGAAGTAAAAGCAAATTATACCGAGCCCGTAAAAAGATACAGAGAATTAACCACTAGAGAAAATGCGTTAAATCGTATCGTTCCACTTTCTGATTCACCTCGAGCTACCTATAAAACGAAAGCATTACTACCAATTACGAACTGTTTAACCGACTTTATTTTTCCACCATTGAAACTTCAACTTTTATCCCATCACGGTGTCCGAGAAAACGTGATTTCTATGAGTCGCGATTGCGTTACAGGATGTCCTCGCATTCAATCCCATTGCAACGCCGAGTACCTTCGGTATTATATTCCAACCCTTTGTTCCAAAACAAGAATGTCATACGCTAATGAAAAGCGATTTACAAACAAGTAATGCAACAGTTCGAAGCGACGCTTCGCTACGAAATATACGAATTAGACAACGATCTGACTTGTCTGCCGAATTCACGATCATAGTTGTTTCCCGAGCGTGACCAAACGCTTCGAAAATTTCTGTTTAAACGAGCAACTGCTCTCCACCAACTTCAATTCAACGTCAATTAAACGCACAGATATGTAAATTATTTTCATCCAACTACCGCGATACAATTTCCTTTCTGTAAACGAGAAAATAGCATCGAATATTACGGTCCCAGGAAATTCGAGCCAAAGTATTCGGACCAAGAACCGTAGAAACTCGGAAGAACAATGCAACGAGTCGATGAGGAAAAGTTTCACTGTTATCCGAGTAAACAATCGTCGGTACGGTGTGGCAGGAAGCAAACAGGGTATAGTTAAATTACGGAGGAGCCAATACGACCGAATCGCGACAATGTAAACAAAGTTTCGTCGCGAACAGAAAAACAGAGACGATACAACATCGATTAAGAATAAACTTGTTACGAAGGTGGTCGCCGTCTTATTAGGAGAACCGGAAGGAAGAGGAAACTTATATTCGTATTCCTAACAAAAATGAGCCGAGTTCGTTCTAGCTTGGAAAATGAGAAATCAGACATGCCAACGAATTAACCGAGGCGATGTGGTTGTACACGGACAAGCGGGAGGATTTTGAAAGTGTCGATATCTCGTTCCATCGAAGTCGTTGACTCGAACGAACCATACCTATCTATGTTTACCAGGACAAATGGAAGAGAGCTGACCGAATGAACTAGTAGGCGTACACTCGGCGCCAATAGTCCAAGAGAGAATGGTATCGAGTTACGTGAGATTGTTGTAATAATTGCGTGTCACTCATGCTTGCGTACATACGTGTTACGCTATTATTTTAGGCCGCACCCAAATTGGCAGACGCATTGTCTAAGGGTCGTGCCACGTAACCGGTAGTCATCATAGCTTACCCCATTTGGAGCTGATTTCCGATTCTAGTCATTCTAGACCGACTAGATAGGGATTTGGAAATTTTCGTCCGAAACATTAAAAAATATTTCTTTTCGTCTCGACTCTCTTTCCTCGTACCATGTTCCTCTACATTCTACGTACATATATAGGTACATACCAGGAATTCGCCCGGTGACGCATAGGTGTTATCGTTAGAATTTGTCTCGTTGAACATAGCTGAACGCGGAGGTAAAATCTCCGATGCGCAACTCACTGGCTGAGGCGCATTCTTACAAAAGAGGTAGGCCGTGTCTTTGAGGGACACACGAATTATGCGGTAGGTTCTGTTTCGTGAATTATCATTGAGCTCCGTCTGCATGAACCGAGGCCAGGCATTAATTACAGCGGCAAGTAAAACTTGAGCTTTCTGCATTGTGCACAGGGATTACAATGCATTTTATGCAAAACCAGCTGGTAGAATAGCATCTCGTGGCCAAACCCTCTTTGCTTCGCGACCGTTCTCGTTCGCTTTGTCGCTCTCCTCTTCTTCGCTGTCGTTTCCTTTGCGTTGCACCATAATAAACGACGCCCGAATCTGTAATTGCTTCTCTGGCTATTGTATTAGCTCATCCCACATAAGCAACGAGGCTTTTTTGTTTACGGTACATATATTAAGCGCAAATCTTTCACGGTTGAATTTATCTTTTGTTCCCTCGTAACGATTTTCGAGAACATTTGCGATCGACGAAACACCGTAAACTGCGTAAACTGCGGCAATTTGACGCGAATCGTCGAAGCAATTTACCACCGGTCTGGCTAAATCGCGTGACGCGCGATCGGGAATTCTGTTGGAAGTTTCGAAAAGTCGATTAATTCGCGAACGAGCGCTGTCTAAAGTTACAATTCCTACTTTCGCGATGGGAGGGCAGTCGATGCAGGGCTTCGCGGTATTCGTTGTCGTACGACATCGTTGTCGCTTGGAAATTTCAAAAAATTCCACTTTTCCATTATTCAGCAGCGTACCAAGTGTGAAACGAGCATAATGTAACGGGTCATTGGAAACAATGGTTGATGCCGTCAGTTTGACCGAGAGGATAGCTCGGATATAACAGCATTTTAGAGAAATTTCCTGAAATTTTGGGACTCGGGATGATCGTAAAAGCTGAATGAGCTTCTTAGAAGGGCCATCGGTTCGTTTGGCTATGTTGAATCCCCTTTGGTTTAACGGTCCTCGAGCGATTACTGCAAATGTTTCTCATTACCTCTCTGCATCTTTTGTGCACCTCTAACGATCAGTGCTAGGTATAGGTTGTACGTTGAAAATTCAAACATAGATAAAAATTGTTCCATTATAGAATTTGTGTCAAGGATGACTTGGTATTTATGGGTGACCGCATTGGTTGCAATTGTTTCAAGGCGAACTCGACTGAGAACGCTTGACAACGAAAAAAATAATGAATAATTATTGTATATAAAATTGAAGAATAAACGGATCGAAGTAAGGAGAAACCATAGATTGGCACTTCCGTGGATATTTGATTACACGGTCTAATTCGGGAAACGTGTATCTGTCTGTGGAACGTATTACGATATTACCGTGTATACGAAACAGTATACGACAGTCTGCTCGAAGGTGATACGGCGAGCGAAAAGGGAAAGCCAAACGGCGACAGATATCGGGTATCTCTAGTTCTCACAAATCTTCGGTGTTCCTAATCCACGTGGCAGGCTGCCCGTGAACGAAACTCCCGCTTGCCACGATAAAATGGGAACAAGTGAATGAGCAAATACTACGTCGAACACGAGAGAGTACGCCCTCCATTCAGAGACGCCACCATATTGCTCCCACCTGTTATATCCGCCAGCGCTTTATCTTTCCTCGCCTTGTATTAACCATCCCTTCGTACCACCGCCGATTTCCACTTCGTTTCTACATCTCATCTCTTTGTGAACAATTCGCATTTAAATAAAAATATACACCTCTCTAGTCCCCTATGAAAATCTTACTCCTCAGGTAAAAGGAGGATATTCCGTTTCCTTTTTCCTTTAACACGCACCTCAATTGCCGGGCTTTCCTTTTACCGTTAACTCCCTCGTCCCTTAAGCGTATATTAATGATTATACTCGTTGTAAAGCAAATTTTGCCGGAGTTAAGCTGAACTCGGCAAATAAATGTTTACGATGCACCAGTGGTACGACAACACCGCTCCGTAGCGGCCGCTACTCGCGATGCAATAAACGCGACAATAAATATAAAGGTTATTTTTAAATTTGTACAGAGACGGTACCTTCTTAACGATCCCTTTTCTGTTTCCTTCTAGTTCGACCGCTGTGTCCCCTGTGTCCTCGTGTCCTGTGCACCTTTCAACCACCCAGGTCTATCGTTGTCCTAATGGAAAGATGGATATCTTGAAATTAAATATGACTCGTATTTGGTGCAGCTCGGTGCCCTGGATCGGACACTTATTTCCTCGAGATCGACCGAGATGGCAGGCACACCAACATCAACGGAGAGGAACAGAACTATGTAGGGTGGGGATAAAGAGAATAAGAGAGGAAGGTAAAGAGAAAAAGAGACGGTGTCTGTAAAACAGCCGGAACACCCACCTTGATTCGATACCGACGTTCCAGACGATCGAAAAAAAATCCATCACAAGCGTCCCTCGAGAAAATAGAGTAATTTAGATAACAGCCGTATTCCCCACTACTCTATCTCTATCTTTCTTTCTCTTCCCACCAATAACACCGGCAAACTTGCTCACGGTAACGTGTCTCCGGAGGCATACCGGGAACGCAGCTACTCTCCATCGTTGCGATCGAGAGACGATGAGAGATTCTCAACTATATTTTCCTCGTTACAACGACTGTTCGATCCATCGAAGACATATAGGAGCCATTTTGTTTTGATCCGTGTCGCTAATAAAAAAGTCTATCGTGAAAATTTGTGAAAACGAACGTTCGACGTTACGCTTACGATCGCAGTCTTACCGTAATTCGCCTCTCTCTCTCTCTCTCTCGTGTCTCTCCCTCTCCATTTTCTTTCTCTTTCGATCGGCTCTTGGAAAGTCAAGCTTTCTCTGTTACAGGATAGTCCCCCCTCTCTTCCTTTCATCCACTACTCCCCTCCAACAGTGAAGCAGGTAACGTGCCAACGCCAGGCAATGGCGCCTTAGCGGCTACACCTGGGCTAACCGTTCGCCAGGTTAGGGAGGACGGTGATTGGTCGAGTCTCGCAAAACGACGCGGTGATTGGTTGATATCGCGGTTCCGTCGGCACACGGCTTTAATCTCGTTTACCGTAGGCGCGCTGCTGCTCAGTTCAACTTACCTTAGCCGCACGGACGGTTGGCCACGCAACTCCACGCCGGACATTCCACACGAAAGTTGCGACCATCTATCCCGCGTTACTTCGCGGTACACTTCGTTTCCGGTTACTGGCGTGTGTTCGCAACGGTGAGTCCGTGTCGCGGTGCTCATCGATCGTTGTTGAATGTGTGATCGCGAACAAGAAAGCAGCAGCAGGAAAGATCAACAGTCAGGAGATCGCGTCGCCGCTCGTCCATGTGTGCGTCTGTCTGTCCGTCCGTCCGATCGTTGTGTGTGTGTGTGTGTATAACGCGCGCGCCCCCCTCGATGCTTGTGTGATACCTGTACATATAGCGTGTACGATCAAGCGGCCAAGCGTGCGTGTATAGCGGCTCCACTTCTTTCTCTCTTCTTCTATCTTCGCGTATCCTCCGCGTTCCGTGCGCGTGTTCGTGATTGGTCGGTGCGTGGCATTTTTAAAAAGTTGTCCTGCTTCTGTCCGTTATAACCAAGAGATCCGGGCAGCGGCGATGTCGCGAAACCGCGAGTAAATCGATATCTCGATCCGTGTCGAAATAATGTCGATCCACAGTGACGCCAGTTTGCAAGTTTCTTCGATTACCCGCGACAGAATCGTGATCGTACCCTTCTGGTAATCAACGTTCACGGTTTCCGCTGCTTTTTCTCATTCTCGCGACAACGGAACGGTTCAAACAGACACCGCGAGGGCACGCATGAGATCCGTCCAGGAGAGGAACGGGGAATTATTCGCCGCACTTTCGTCGAAACAGCGAAAAATTCGAACACGTTGGAAAACCATTCCGACTCTGCAACGAACACTCCCGTTGACAGATAAAATACGAGAGGAAGGAACGAGAAGAGGAAAGAGGAAAGCGGTGCAAAAAACGAAAACGGCGCTAGTTCCTTTTTGGAACGCCCCGCGTCGCCCCCTCGAGTGACATATGCGTGTGGCGCGTAGATTCCTTGCCAAAGATAAGTCGCGGCAAATAAGAGTGACAGAAAGTGGCTGAAATTCGAAAATAGTTTGTGGATCTGTACGACTGGAAGTCAAAGGAAGAAGGGGAGAAAGAAAAGAAGAAATAACAGCCACGCTGATTTTCTGATCTCTCTTCGGAGGTGCGCCGTACAGTTCTCCGTTCGTGCTGGTGGAGTGTGGTGCCTCGGTGTGTCGTATAGTTGTGCCTTCGTGCGGGGTGAGGTTAGGATCGTGCAAAAGAGCGGTGGAGAGTGGGCAAGGAATAAACTGCGACACCCTGATTAAGTGCAAACCAGACAAAATATCGAAGCAAGGGGACAGCATCATTCAAAGACGAGAAATCGCTCGAAATCTGCAAGAACTGGATCACACGGGCGACTCGAGAATTGCCAAAATTTTGCCAGTTTATAAAAAAGGTGAGTGATACGCGTGTCAATGTTGTCGGTCATTGGTCCCTAACGCGCGATAACGTACGTTATCTTTGACAGGTTGAATCAACTTTGCGTCCATTTTTGTTAGCTAACACCCGAATCTATTTTTTCCTTATCTCTCGTTTGCTTCTCGTGGGAATGGTTATCGAGTTTGTTCGATAAACGATATTTGTTTACCATCGATACCGGCTCCAATTGCACTTGCGTTCGGCCATGACAGTTTGTTTTGGTTTGCATTGCCGATACAGAGTGCAAAGCAAAGAAACCTGTACGCAATGTTTCAAAGTAAATAATACACGGAGTATAAATATTTTAACAAATAATGCGTTATTGTAACATTGAAATTGTATTAGCTGCTTGTCTTTTGAATTCGCGTCTGACTATGGAAGAAAAGTTGGTTCGTTCGTCGTTTAACCTCGAATGTCTCGGTTTGTCTAACCTTGAAATCCCACTCGTCGCCTCTTGCGTGTTTTTAAAACACTCGATCTTGGCTCTCGTGGGACGCGCGCATGCGCACAACCGTGGATCCTTTATTTTTCTCCTGTTACCCCGGTTCTTTCTGCCTCTTTCGTTACCGCGTGCTCGCGCTCTCGTGGCTTCGGCAAAATTTCAATTAAAATCCTTCCTGGTATCGGTGACACTGGTAAGCCCGATTTAACTTTTAAATCGAATTCAAGCTGGTTAAAAAAAAGAATAAAGAAAGGAAAAGCGATCCGTGCCTTATGAAAAATCTGGCTTCTCCTTTAATGAAATTTCGCGCGCTTTTTACGTACAAGTTTTCAACGAATGTCGTCGGTGATCGTTGTTGAAAAATTTAAGAACATCGTTACTTGAAATTTCCGCAAACTCGATGGACAATGCGCGCATTGTATCGAGTGAAGTTTCTCAAACTTCACCGGCTTTCCACGACTCGAAACAAAAGATGTTTTCGCGACAATTTATCGATAGCTCGCGATCGATCCTTCACAATGACGGGGGTCAATATTTTCGAGTCGCGTACAAGCACGAACCTGGTACCGTTTTTCCATTGTCCATTCTACGGTGTTGTGTTTACGTCGTTCCGGAATGTTAACTGTACCGAGAATAAAAAGGAAGAAAAACCGTGAGAAGAAAAATATTCAATGAATTTCCACGGAAAGGTGAATAGCTCTTATTTGGATAAATTTAAATCCAAGGAATTCACAGAATATTCTTTTATATTCATTATTGACCCACTTTAGCGTTAATACTGTGTAAATTAAAAATTACAAAAAATATGCTTCGTCGTTCTGATTATCAAAATTTGTTATATCATAATTAGCAGCAGTTTGCTCGCGTGCAATTACTCGTGTTTCGTCCTGGAAATTGTAGAAACTACTAATTTCGCGGGGCTGCCGCAACATTTATTTAACTGTCGTATACTTTAGCTGACAGTGGAGCGTACATTTCACCGCGGTAATAACACTTTTCCGTCCGAAACACCGCAAGAATGTTTTGAGGGGTAGGCAGCGGCGGTGCACGAAATTACGGCGATTAGCCGGCGCGATTCGTTTCAGCTTCAAAAGAACCCAACGCCGGGGATTGAAAAATGAAGGGAAGAGAAATAAAGAAACGAGAGCTCGAATATTTTGCCTTCTTCCCTGGCGAAGTAAGCTTGTTGATATGAACTGAAAAATAATCTCGGTTTAGCAAGAAATTAACGCTGTACTTAAATTTCTCTTCTTTAGCGTAGAAAAAAATATTTTCAGATAGAATACATTCTTTCGTTTGATGAGCAGTTCAATGACCTACTTTGCAAGGACATCAACGGTTGCATAAGATCGTAAACACATAATAGTGTGACCCAGAAAGTATACTTTCCATCATTACCTTTTAATGATACAAATTATGTCTTCAGGATCGTTTTTATTATATGCTTGTAACCTTGAATATCTTCAGGATACATAGGTCATCGAACCCGTTTCAAACATTACTTACACGTTAGACATTAACCTTTGCGTTGATAATTAGATATCTAGTTACACGTTTCAACATCGAAGTCAAAGAATTTCTAACGCTTTTATGAGTCACTCTGCTCTAATGTTAAACAGAACGTTTGGGATATCCCGTTCTTAATGTATCGAACAGCCGTTAACGGTAATTAAGCGGTAGGAATTGATTATCAATTATGCTTTCATCTACTCTGCTAGACGCTACATATTTCCTTGGATGAATAATTCAGAGACGGCCGTTTGTCTGGTAAAAGTTTCGCAATGTACGAACGATTGCGCAATCAACGTGAGAAGGCGAGCGAAATATAAACACGAGCTACGAATAATAATCGTGTTTCTTTAGTTATTTCTGTAGTATTAAAATGAAATTCATAAAACCGTTCAATTAGCGAGTCCGAGTGCAATGACCAGAGCGACGGCTAAACACGGAAACACGAACGATTGTGCCGTTAAAATTCACTCGGAGCCAAGGCAGTTAATTAATGGAAAATTGAACTGGCGCGGAGAAAATTAGTTGGCTGAATGCAGCGCGTCTGTCGGAATCGTATAACCCTCATGAACGTTTAATTACATAGATGAACCTGAAGATTCATGTTCGACCGTGTCGGATCTATTCCAAGGTCGACTTACCCCGCTCTTCGCTTCAAATTCAATTATTTTGTTAGATGTCTTTAATGAACGTGCGATTGGAAAAACTTGAATGATACTCGTGCGACTCGTTGATCGGTTAAAGACTCTAGTTTGCTCTACTGGCCACTTCCGTCTATCGCATTCGTTGCCCGGCCGAGTGTAACGATTGGCCTGAATTCTACGATCGAGTAGAAACGGAATACTCCCGTGAAATGCATCCGTACATTCCGTAAACTGGTTCCCGATACTTAACATCGATGATCACTGAAATGAGATTACGTAATTGGAGCTGACCGTTGAGTAACGCGGGAGATTCACGATTCGATGATTACTTTTTTTCGTGAAAAACTTCATTACAGTGGTCTACTCTTACAATTAGTTCAAAGTACCTATTGTTTCTTTTGTTTTTAGGGGGACGCACCGACAGAGATGGCATGAGGGACGGTTCCGGCAACGTTGCCGAGGTGGTGAGTGTTTATCATTTTTATTTTTATTCGTAACGCTAGTTGCAAAATGACGATGTTTGTAAAAGGTGTTGCTTTCTTTTTGAAATTGTACAAACTCGTCGTAGTTCTTCTTGAGAAGTAGATAGGAAACAGAATTTTTTGTTGTAACTAGGTTTAAGAAAATTGATTTCACACCTCCCCCTAGCGTACACACACTTCACTGAATCTTGACCTGGTGAATACTTTCGTACAAGTAGCGACACTACGTGCTTTCTTTCGAAAGAGAAAGAATCAGGGTGTTTGGTAAATTCGTTCTCAGAGAAATTAACCGAGCGCGAAAGGGGTTAATT